TATTTCCTATCTTACTTCTCGTCATTACACACCGAACGTCTGAATTGGTGTATTGATCAAAATGGCAAGAACCCGAAGTGGAGTCAGGAACACGAACGGAAACAGGAATTAACCTCCAGTGATTGAGCAAATACCTATTGTGGCAGCCACTCCTGAGCCCATCACGATAGCCCCGGAGAGCTCGACGGCTCCGAGAAGAAGAGCTTTCGGCTCGGAAGTTCTGCCCCTGCAGAGCCCGACTTCTAGCCAAACACCCTTGTAGGTAAGATACGCCTACCTAATTTTTAATATAGCTTTTATTTAAATATAGTAACGTTATTAGGACCTTATAATAATTATTTGAGCTATTATTATGTGTTATATAAGTGTCGTTATAATATCTTTTTAACCACTCGCGGTACGGGCAATCCGGTTTGAAGGGCCGCCTGGGTTATTGGATTACAGAAGTGCTATATGCCAAAATGATCCTGCCCTCCGGTGTTTCATGTCTGGCCCCTGTCTGTACATAGTGGGTGAAGAGTATTGTTTAACGCCTTTATAATACTAATAATAGCTAGACTATTAATTAGTCCCGTTGAACATTAGACTAAACTATAGTGGAAATGATACCAGGTTTTGTCAACGGAAATTTGTATTAAAGTAAACGAAGTGTTGTCCGAGTACCGAGTCACCACCTTTGCAGGTGAGTGCATAGTCCCTTTCATGAACATGATTTTAATACAAGTATTAATTAAAGTATTAAATATATGTTAAAGAGTTTATGTGTGAGTGCATAGTCCCTTTCATGAACATGATTTTAATACAAGTATTAATTAAAGTATCAAATATATGTTAAAAGAGTTTATGTGGGAGTGCATAGTCCCTTTCATGAACATGATTTTAATACAAGTATTAATTAAATTATTAAATATATGTTAAAGAGTTTATGTGTGAATGCATAGTCCCTTTCATGAACATGATTTTAATACAAGTATTGATTGAAGTATTAATTATATGTTTATGTGCGAGTTAACTGATGTTGCCTGAAATATGTGTTAAAGAACATACCTAATTATATATGATGATTTAGGATAAAGAGTAAACCTAAATTAATTATGAGGAATATTGAGTAGTATTTTCTTACAAGTATGAGTGAGTTATACTCATAGAATAAAACTTTAGTATATGTCATTGATCCGGGAGCATGGATTAGACATAGTCATTGTCCCTAGTCCGAGAGTATGGATTGGACATAGTTAACTATCATTAATCCGGGAGTATGGATTAAGACATAGTCAGTTGTCCTTAGTCCGGGAGTGTGGATTAAGACATAGTCAGTCGTCCTCAGTCCGGGAGTATGGATAAGACATAGTCATTAGTCGTTAATCCGGGAGAATGGATTTACACATAGACACTTGTCCCTAATCCGAGAGTATGGAATGGGCACAATTATTGATCCGAGAGCATGAATTAGATTCGAGAGTATGGGTTAAGTAAGAGGTAAAATTTAAGGTCTGAGATTATGGATAGTCTCGTTGTAAGGATTAACGGGGTGGGGGTAAGAGTTGCTTATATATATATGGTGAGATTGTATATTTTGTGAGTTCTAAATTATATATATGATATAACATTGTGGGATTGGAATCCCTGTGTACTCACTAGGTTTCACAACCTGACCCACTCAAGCTTATTTGTATCACAGGTGTCGATACGAAGTTACATTACATTGAGAGATTAAAGAGATGTAGATCACTAGTGTAAATGAATGTAAGTTCTGTTTATGCTTATGTTTCTGTATTGATGATGACATCCCAAATGTTTTAAAATGAATAAAAATACATTTCTTCGAAAATGTTTTGATAACGTATTTATCATGTTTTACTGGGAACAAATTCTGCAACATTTTCACTAAAAGAGGTACTGATTTTTATAAAGCATAAACAAAATCGGTCTTTTCTGGTCGTGAAAATGGGGATGTCACAAAGTACATTGTTGTTTTGGGTTGTAATATAAGCATATTTTAGCCATAGAATCGATGTTAGATTTTGAAGCCAGTTCTGGTTTCCGATGACCTTTTTTTTAATTAAAGAATTTCAGTTAAGACGGTTAATTTTTGTTATAATGTTTCAATTAATAAGCAAATAGAATTCTATTTAAAGTACCACAAATTATTTTATTTACACAGGATAGGATTATAATTGCATTAACCAATTTTCGATATATTTGGTTTGATCAATAGCTATATTTGAGAACAATACACTTAAAAAAATAGATAGTAACGGGTCCAACCCGCATCTTCTAATTTTCTTTAGAAAGTCAAACTATATCGATTTTTATAGTCTCCAATGTATATACATAACTATTCCTTTAATGTCATATTTTGAGCTATATATATTATAGATCTTGATACCATCTATGTTCTATATAACAATTATGTTTCCAAATTTCATCGATAGAAATCAAATTTGCAAATCCTAAAAAAAGTGAGCTGAGTTTTGAAAATTTCATTTTCTTATATCTTGATGTGCCCCTGAAACTTCCTTTGAAATCCTATTTGACCCGATGAAAGTCCTCCTTAGCTTCCACTTCTTACTTTTATTCCCCACTTTATCCTACACGAAAAAATAATCATTATAAGACCGATTACATTACTATAAACCAAAAGACCAAAAAGCTACAAATGGCTTGATCAACTTTTTCTATGTGTACGAGATTTATTGTTGTTTTTCCCACTTTATCCAACATGAAAAATCTGGTTGAAAAATCAACATTTGCACTAACATGTGCACTATACTTGGTCCCTAATAGGGACTTCGTGCATTAGAAACTCCATGTCTGAAAAGCAAACAAAGAGAAATGGAAAACAACTGACCAACAATTACACTATACCCAATCCCTAATATAGTAATACACATAAAAATCAATGGTTGCCTTGGGTTTAGAAGGTTTCTTGGACAAACATTACACACACACATATATATATATATATATATATATATATATATATATATATATATATATATATATATATATATATATATATATATATATATATATATATATCTATATATATATATATATATATATCAAAACATTGTTAGATGAGCAGAGTTGGGAATGACCATTCTACAATCATCAAAAATGCATGAAAAACAAAACAAAATTCAGGGTTTTAAAAAAAGCATTTTCAAGCATGTGAAAATGAAATTATATGCTTAAGACATCATAAACAAAGAAGTGAGAAGCCAGTAAGTGGCAATTACTCCAAAAAAAAGAGCAAGGAGCCGAACTCGTGGTTGGTAGATCGTAGAATTAAACTATAGAAATGGATCATAAGTTCAAATTCGTTTAAAATAGTTCTCTTTCGATTGAAACAAGATAAAGAGAAGCGACAAGCAACATACATTACAACAGAAAATGAACAAAAATGGAAGGATACACCCATTAGTGAGAGACAGAGAGATCACAATGGTCAGAGAGTATTTGAACTCGAGGTCTATTCACCATAATCAGTGATGATATTTGTTTAGACATAGAAAGATACATGAAGATATATATTTGAGCAATTATAGTTACAGACACAGTCCTTTCTTCAACAATATATCAATAATAAGGTAGTGCCGATGGCAGAGCACGACAACACATGTATTGATGGATTTACTTTTTTTGGTTTTTACAGAAAGATCCAGAGGATGCGTGATTTAGGGTTTTTGGTGAGGAACATATATGGATATATATATATGTGAATGTAAATGTGAGAGGCAAAATTGGGAGGGGTCGAGACTGGGGGAATAAAGAAGGAAAGTAATTAATATGATAAAATAGTATCGTTCTAAAAGAAGTATGTTTGTCAAGTTGTACATTGTGTTTATAAACTTGTACCTCTTAAAGTTACAAGAAATATCAAATATATATATATATATATATATATATATATATATATATATATATATATATATAGCTAAAAGATGTATGCGGGAAATGTTTTTCTGACCGCAGACTTTGGTCCATGTCTTTTTTTTATTTAGAAAAGGAGACGCAAATGTTGACATTTACGGTCTTCTAAAAAACAACGGTCTGTAAGAACACACATACATAAATGTCTTCCCTCCAAAAACACAAGTGCTCAATTTAAAAAAAATAAAAATAAATACAACCTAGCTAAAACAATCTATAATTGTAGAGGGTATTTTCCAAGAAGCAACATTCCCAACCATCCCTCTCCACTCGCCGATTCATAACCTGCAGTTGTGGATTCATCACCATCGTGTTTAGGACCCACTTGTATGACATGTGTTTTCATGGTCTTGTGTTTATTTGTTCTTCAAAGATCCAAGTTTGATTTTAGTTTTGGGGGTGGAGACAAGAGAAAAAACGAGGTGGTGAATCCATGGAGCATCGTTGTCATGAGATAGCTCCAGCCTCTCATATCCTTACTTAATAGTATTTTTTCTATGACGTCAAACTAAAAATTTAGAACAAATGAATTCTTTGTTGGAGGTTATGATTGATGTTTGATCTGATTTTGGGTTGTGTTTTTCTTATTTCTATTTAACTGAATTTTATGGTTTTGAGATCTTATTTTCATCAAATATTAGTTATGGTTTTTTCCTTTTTCATAACATTGATTGTCGTGGGTATGAAGCTTGTTGGAAAGATCACGGCGGCGGGGGAGGGGAAAGCGGGGATCTTGTCGAAAAAGTGGGAAACGGGGGTAGATGAGGTGGTTATACACAAGTTTAAAGTGGCTGTATGTCGGTAGTGTTGTTTAATTTCTTTTATAAAAAAAATATATAAATAATAAAATTAATTAAAAAAGATATTAATAAAGGCATAATAGTTTTTTTAGGTCGGACATAGACCAAACACGTAACAAAAATATACTATAGGAAAAGTCGGAGTTAAAAAAAAAGTCAAAAGCCAAGAACGTAAATTACCTCAAACCATAGGTACTATTCGTGTAATTTACTCTTAAATTTATTTCAATCATAGACTCGTAAGTTTCCAAGCAAATTCCAAATCAAAGACATCTCTTATGAAAAGGGGATGACTTGGACTATCTTGGTATAAACCACTTTTTGGCGCATCCAGATCATAAATCGAAGTTTCAAATCAATCATACCTTCCCATTACTCATAATGGTTGATCTGTCAGAATTTGTAGAAGAACCTTCATCTTCTTCATCAGCTGATCGTCATAGATATGATGTATTTTTAAGTTTCAACGGGTGTGACACTCGTGATACTTTCATCGATCACTTGCATAAGGCCCTAATGGATGCGGATATCACTACCTTCTTGGACGATGAAATGATCAAAACAGAGGAAGATCTGAAACCGGAAGTGAAGAGTGCAATTAAAACCGGGAAAGTTCTAAACCTAGAACTGGAGCGTGCGATTAAAGAATCTAGGGCTTGTATTATAGTGTTGTCTAAGAATTACGCTAATTCGCCCCGGTGCCTTGATGAATTGATGTTTATCCTTGAGCAGCGTATGTCATCCAACAAAATTGTTGTCCCCATCTTCTATCATGTTGATCCCACCCATGTCAGGAAGCAAGAAAGTACCTTTGGACTTGCAATGGCTGAGCACAGACGGATGATGGAGGCTGAGATAGATGCAAATAAAAGAAGCGAATTGGCTGAAAAGATTGACCAATGGAAGAAATCCCTTACAGAAGTTGCTAATTTAAAAGGGAGGGATGTAAATGGCAGGTAACCATGTTTTTACCCATATTTCCATGCTACTTCAGTTTTTTGTGTATGTAAATTGGACAAAGAAATACATAAAATTTAATCTAAGCTTGAATTATGTTGAGTTCTTTAATTTAATTATATAAAAACATAAACCATTCTGAATATTTATTCTCTTACCCTAATTTAATATTTTTAGGTAAACCATATTAACAATCTTTATATGCTTTCTATTAAACACCAAAATTTGAAAGGTTTGCTGTCCTTTGGATTCTAGCAAAATCACGTCCATAGTTAAGTTTGATAGTCTTGTAGACAAGAGCCACAGCAACAATACCTAATTTCCATATAGTATAGGCCATAGAAATCTCCTGGTCAGTTGGTTAATTATGATTAGATACTTATATGTAAAAATTATGACTGTCTTTTGTGGTTCTTACTGAAATCAAATTTCAGGCGAGAGACGGAGTTTATTGAAGAAATTGTTAAGTACATCTACCGTAGATTACATGCACCCTTACGGAGTGCTCTGCCACTACTTATTGGGATGGAATCTTCCATTAACTATTTCACTTCATGGTTGAAAGATGCATCCTCACATACAACCGATGTTCTCACCATTTTGGGTATGGGTGGGATCGGGAAAACATCTTTAGCCAAATATGTTTACAGGTCTCATTCTCATGAATTTGACACAAGCAGCTTTATTGAAGATATTAGTAGGAGATGTGATGAAAAGCTTAACAGAAGCAATTTTATTGAAGATATTAGTCCGAAATCTGAAAATTTTAACGGGTTGCTTAGTCTACAAAAACAACTGTATGATGACATTTCAGAACAAAGTTCAATTCACGTTCATGATGCTTCTACGTACACCTCAGAGATAGAGAATGTAGTAGCATGTAACAAGGTGTTTCTAGTTCTTGATGATATTGATAGTCTTGACCAGATAGATGCATTACTTGGAAGCAAAGCTTTTCATCCAGGAAGTAAAATTATCATAACAACAAAGAACACATGGTTGATTGAGAGTTCTGCATTATTCCAAAAGAACGCAAAACCCAAGCATGCTCAATTCTTTCTTAACGGCTTAGATAAGACTGAATCACGGACACTTCTGTGTTTTCATGCGTTCAAGTCCAATGTTACCCATGCTGGTTATGAAGAGGTGTTAGAGGAGCTTCTGAAGTATTGTGAAGGACATCCATTGGCTCTTGAAATTTTGGGCAAATCTCTATATAATCGAGACGTAGTTTATTGGAAAGAGTTCATAGCTTGCCTAGAGAAAGATATTGATCCCGATATAATTAGTGTGTTGAGAAAGAGCTTTGACTCTTTGCCATCTGAAAATGATAAGGAATTGTTTAAGCATATTGCTTGTTTTTTTGTTGGAATGGATAGAGATGTTGCTACAACAATATTAGAAGCATGTGATATAGAAACAATATCTGGAATCACGAATCTCATGGACAGATGCCTTCTTAGTATTGGACGTGATAACAAATTGAAGATGCATCAGTTACTTCAAAACATGGGAAGATTCATAGTACAACAAGAATCACCTAACAAGCCATGGGAGCGAAGTCGATTGTGGTGTCATGAGGAGTCACTCAAGGTGTTGTTGCAAAAAAAGGTAACATGCCATTGAAACTTGTTCAAAGTACTTTTTATTAACATTTTTTTAAAAAAATTTGGCATTCCATTTCTTCTTAGGGTACTGGAAATGTGCTAGGTCTCATCCTTGACATAAAAATGCTTAAGAATAAAAAGTTACGAGAAGCATTTGAGCTGAAAACAGATACATTGAGTAAGATGGATAAGTTGATGCTACTACAACTCAATTATGTGCAAATCAATGGGTCTTATGAGAACTTTCCAGAAACATTAAGATGGTTGTGTATGCATGGGTTTCCTTGGAAGTCAATCCCTCCAGACCTACCAATGGAGAATTTGGTTGCTCTCGACATGTCTTATAGCAATATTGAATCATTTGGGATTTTTAATTATCCACAACGAAGTGATAAGAGGCTAAAGGTAACTTACCACTATTTGTTACTCTTCTATGTTGAGTTGATAAAATTCACTACTAAATTCTAACTTATCTCAATATCAGAAATCAATTGGATCGTCCTCAAAAGACAAAGTGTTGCTTGGATCATTGAAGATTCTTAATTTAAGTTTCTGTGATCAGCTTAGTAGTTTGCGTGGCTTTGAGGATCTCCCCGCACTTGAGAGGTTAATAGTTAGAAATTGTGTTAATTTGCTTGAGGTTTGTGAATCAATTTCGCATTGTGGTGAACTTGTCCACATTGATCTAAGCTACTGCAAAAAGCTTCAAAAGTTTCCTACAAGTCTAAGCATTTTAGAGAATGTTAATTCTCTACTTGTAGATGGTTGTAATCTTGATGAATCTCAAAGCACGGTTAGAATTAAGGATTCACCGTTAATGCTTTCCAGGACCGCAATTCTGCATATAAGGTCTTTGGTAAGGTTGTCACTTGCAAATAATAATTTGTCCACCGAATCCTTTCCCATGGACTTCAGTTTCCTGCCCATGTTAAAACATTTATATTTAGATGACAATCCTATTGTTTCCCTGCCCAATTGTGTGAGAAGCCTTCCAAGACTTGAGATGCTTAGTCTGAGAAACTGTAAATCTCTGAAGTCTGTGGAGCGTCCTCCACAAAAGCTAAGAGAGTTGATCCTCCTGTTTGATACTAAGCCTTTGCTAGGAAAAGTTATATTTGATCTAGAAATGTCCCCACTCAAGTTATCATATGATTGGAGATGGATTATGCCTTCGTTCTTTGAAATTGAAGGCATTATGAAAATCCAACCAATGTCAGGTGTTGAAGAAAAGGTATTACATAGTTTGGGCTGGACAAACCTAGATTTCCTCAACAAAATGCATAAGGGGAAAGATGCTTCCTATAGAGGGTCAAAGGCATCTGAAATCCAGGTTTGCTCTGGTTAATTACGTCTTTGTGTTAATATGTATACATAATTCATGGTGATTAATTAGAACGGTTGTATTTGGCAGATGTATTATGAATTTGGAATATTCAGCACAATCTACCAGGGAAAAGAGTTGCCCGAATGGTTTACGTATAGAAGCACCGGGTCATCAATATCATTTATCATCCCATCATCATCATCATCTTACAACCTCAAAGGACTGAATTTTTGCTATGTGAAGCAATTCCAAATTCAAAACAATGAGTCCCTTTATTTTCCAATTATTGAAATTCGCAATATAACAAAGAACCGCACATGGATGTACCATCATTCCTGTGGCAGTAATGTTATTGTAGATGGAGAGTGTTTTGTGTTGTTAAGCCATTGGATGTTTGGGATGAATGAGATGGAAGGTGGTGACCACGTTAAAATTACTATTAGTGTAACAAAGCAACATCAACTTGCAGAGGAGTTGGGGGTGAGTTTTGTGTATGATGATGGAAACAAAGATGAAGAAGAAGATGCGTTGGGTTATTACAAGTCATGGAATCACATCATTGGTGGGGATCTCTCTGCTTTTCAAACAACAACAGGAGTATACTTGCTAAACATTGAAGGATTCACACGGCATGTCATTGAAGTGGATCCATGTTATCATGGATTAATTGAAAGGAGTACCCGCTATAAAGGTACACATCATTCTTGTCATATATTGTCCTATGTATTATTGCTTCACAATTATCAAGTATTTCTGAACCAATATTTTAACGTTTTTATTGTGTGTGTGTATGTGTGTATACACACACATTAGGTTAGGTATCCGTGTATTACAATTGTTTGATTAAAAGAAAAAGTTAAATAGTAATGAGGAAACTTTGAAAATATGTATTAGAGATATGGAGGGAGGGAGGGCACATTCTTGTCATAAGTGTCTCCAAAGTTATATATATATATATATATATATATATATATATATATATATATATATATAGGTTCAGGTTCATTTGAGACCATGCTAATTTTGTGAGACCGTGAGACCAAATCTAAAAATAATTTTAAAATGCAAAATAAAAGGAAAAATCCAAAAATTCTTTTTTTAATTATTATTTTCGTAACTTTATTTACCTAAAAAAAATAAAAAAAAATTTAAAAATAAATAAAATAAAAGTTACCGTTTTTTTTGAAAAATACGTGAAATATTCTAATAGAATATTACACTGTACATATTCTAATGTGATTTTTAGAATGTTAGAATATTCAACTAGATTTGCCAGATATGTAGAATATTCTAATATTCTACTAGAATATGTAAAAAAATGTATTTTTTTTATTTATTTATTTTTTTGGAAAATATATATTTCGAAAATAATATTGGAAATTTTTTTTTTCGAAAATTTTCAATTATTTTGCATTTTAAAAATGTTTTTGTTTTATCTATTAAATGAGTGGCTAGGATTGCGTCTCACGGTCTCACAAAATTAGGCCGTCTCACATGAACCTAACCCTATATATATATATATATATATATATATATATATATATATATATATATATATATATATGGAGACAAAACTGCAAAAATGGTACTTCTGGCTTCTCCTTTATGTGGTCAAGGTCCAAACCTTTGAAAAATTGTAGATTTGGTCATTTTCAACAAGTTTTGTTGTGATTTTGGTCCCTCATCTGTTAACTTTAACAGTTTGGGTGTTTAACTTTTTTAAAATGACTATTTTACCCTTAGGGACCATTTCTGCAATCAAACTACAAGGACCATTTCTACATATCTTCTTTTTATTTTTATTGAGTTATTATATATTAATAAATGTTATTTTTAATATATACTATTTATATACTAATAAATATTGTTTTATTAGATTATTAATTTCTTTTAATTAATTTTTTTTTACTTTTTTGTTATTGGATATTTTAATTGGATTATTATATATGAATAAATATTATTTATAATATATAATATTTATATATTAATAATTATTATTATATTGGATTGTTAATTTAATTTAGTTAATTTTGTTTATTGGAATAATTCTTCTTTATTGGATTATTATATATTAATAAATATTAATGGATGATTGAGATCTTAATTGGGTCGATTATATATATATATATATATATATATTATATATATATATATATATATATATATATATATATATATATATATAATATATATATAGGGAGAGGATCAAATGAGAACACCTAAAAGATTGAGAACGCGAGAACAGTTCTAGACCAATCATTTTATAAGGGTATATTAGTAACTTTATATAAATATTAATTAATGATTTCCTAAAATCTAGTGATAATGATTTTAATTACCTAAAAAAATTAATATTTCCTTTTACTTAATGAAATTTATATAAATATTTTATTCTTATGATTTTTACCAAAAACAATGAGTAACAAGTATGTATGTGTATGAGCAAACAATGAGTTCTCGACCAAGCCTATGATTGAAGCCCTATCAAGATCTATGCTTATCGTTCCATAGATTATATGGTATCATGCACTCCAGCAATCGGGCGAGTGAGGAGTTGTCAATTCCTAATAGCGCTATCCACAATGACCATTGGCTCAAAGAGTTAATGGTTAGAGAAAAGTGTAAGGGAAGGGCCTTAAGACGATAAGTTCTCATGTTCCGTGTTGCATAGACATATATAGAGAGACATAGCAATAAAATAGCAATCATGTTTGATACAAATCAATTTAAATACAACGAACAAATAATAGTTTTTCGGGACATGCTTTTCCACCCCAAAACATAAAAACTGAAAATAGGGGAGTGCGTGAATACTCACAATATGAAAAATATAGCAACCAAGTTTATACGAGTCAAATAAATACAACGAATAAAAATAGTTTAGGACATGCTTTTCCACCCCAAAACATAAAAACCGAAAATAGGGGAGTCGTGAATACTCACAATATGAAAAATATAGCAACCAAGTTTATACGAGTCAAATAAATACAACGAATAAAAATAGTTTAGGACATGCTTTTCCACCCCAAAACATAAAAACCGAAAATAGGGGAGTCATGAATACTCACAATATGAAAAATATAGCAACCAAGTTTATACGAGTCAAATAAATACAACGAATAAAAATAGTTTAGGACATTCTTTTCCACCCCAAAACATAAAAACCGAAAATAGGGGAGTCATGAATACTCACAATATGAAAAATATAGCAACCAAGTTTATACGAGTCAAATAAATACAACGAATAAAAATAGTTTAGGACATGCTTTTCCACCTCAAAACCTAAAAACCGAAAATAGGGGAGTCATGAATACTCACAATATGAAAAATATAGCAACCAAGTTTATACGAGTCAAATAAATACAACGAATAAAAATAGTTTAGGACATGTTTTTCCACCCCAAAACATAAAAACCGAAAATAGGGGAGTCATGAATACTCACAATATGAAAAATATAGCAACCAAGTTTATACGAGTCAAATAAATACAACGAATAAAAATAGTTTAGGACATGCTTTTCCACCCCAAAACATAAAAACCGAAAATAGGGGAGTCGTGAATACTCACAATATGCATTGAGATGATGCAAATGATGCCTTGATCTACGCTCCACTGGTACCACTATCGTTTTCCTACAACGATGTTACACACTAATGAGTCTCTAATTGAAATCTAATACTAGTATACTTATTACTACAATAGAATTATGCCAATAATGTGTCAAAATTTAATATTGATAAGTTACAAACATTTTTCTGTGAAAATTAAATTTCAAAGAATCAATTGTTATATAACAATTTAAGTGGAAAATTCCCATTATTGAAATGTTAATATTTAACATTTTAAGAGGTGTTCCAATGATTAAATATTCAAAAACTAAATCAATTTAGTTCTAAACTTTCCCAAACTTTTCATTTCAGTTTTAATTGAAGTCAAAGACCTTAAGATAATTTTTCTTGAATTTTTGATTTGTCTAACTATTTTTCACCATTTAATTCCTTTAATAATCATAAAATCATGGAAAAATAGTAAATTATCATGAAAGTCTTATAATTTTAGTGTAACTGCTTTACAGTGTACATAATCTGGGAAAAATATTAATATGTGTTTTTTAAAAGTTTAACACAATTTTTCTAATTTTTGTGTATTTATTCTATAAAAATAGAAATAAATATATAACAGTTTAAAAAATTCACCAAACTTTTATTACAAGTGTTATTACACATACTTAAGCTGGAAAAAATATAAAAAATGGATTTCCAAACTATTTAACCCAAATTTATGATTTTTGAGCATTTATTCGAATAGAAATTGAAATAAATAGAAAACAGTTTCCAAAATTGCCCAAAATTTTTGTAACACTGTTACCATACATGTAGAAGCTGTGAAAAATATAAAAGATATTTTTCAATTAGTCTTTTTATTTTTCTTTGTTTTATCCTCTTAAATAATCATTAATTGGAGAATAATTATTAAACAGTTAAAGTAAATTACCAAAATTTTTGTAAAGTTCATTTACAGTGTAGATAATCTGGGAAAAATCCCAAAGGTGGTTTTTATCAACTGGAATCCGATTTTGTGTATTTAAGTGTATTTAATCTTAGAAAATAGGAGAAAAATAGTATACAGAAGAGAAAAATCATCAAAATTTGTATGTAGCATCCAAATGTACTAGAAGGTGTTCTGGTAAATTTTCATGTATTTTGGATGAGCAGAACTATTTTTTCTATTTTTAGGCCATTATAAATACAAAAATCGGGGAAAAATAGGAATGCATTAGTAAAAATTCTGAAAATATTTTTCTGAGTCTTAGACCTCTAATAGAAACTGCGAATATTATTAGATACCATTTTCAAATTGTCTAAAGTGGTTTTATGATTTATTGGGGCTAAACAAAAAGAAAATTCAAAACCACGCTAAACAGTAACAAAAATCGATGAAACGTAATGAGAAGTCATTATTTAGCATAGGGGTCATCCACAAATTTACCTAGGATTTATAGACCTCAGAAAGTATTTTATATGAATTATTTCCCTAATTTATTGCATTAATTATAGTAATTCGAGAAAAATGAATTATTTTCTGAAAATTTGTAGAACATCTCATTTTGTTGGTGGGAATCTGGGAAAAATCGGATTTGGTCAGAAAAGGAGTTTTAGATATTTATTTGGAAATAAATCCTTCATGAACATATTTGAAAGCTTTTAACAACAAACTTTGATCATCAAGCATCTAAGCTTGAAGATCATCACATGCATGTTGTTTTGAAGACCATTCATGAGTTTGAAATGTTCAAAAATCGTTTTTGATAGAAAACTTAGGGTGCATGTGGTGATTTTTACCCAAAACTTGTAGAAAAGTGCATTATGTTGATTTTGACTTAGGTTTTGGTGCTTGGATTTCACCATTAACAACTTGCATGTTGTTTTTGGGTGAAATCCTACCACCATCATTATCAAAACCGTGAGTTTTGTGTGTGTGTATGTTTATGTGTTCTTGATCTTTCATTAGAATGGAGTAGAAGATGGAGAAAATCCATGAAAAACAAGTAAAACTTGAAGGAAAAGAGAATGAAAATGAATGATTTTCGGGTTTAGCTTTAAGAACACCTCAAGATGATTAAGATTTAGAGTTCATGGTGTGTTCTATGACCCATTTTCTGGAGAATTTCGTGGTTGAGGGAGAGAGGAAGAGAGAATAGAGAGAAAATGAAGTGAGGGAGTGTGAGAGAGAAAGAGATGGAGTGGGTGAGTGAAATTGATTAATGACTTGGGAAAATGGTGTATTGGGGGGGGGGGGGGGGGGGATGAGTCCGATTTTTGGGAGGAGGAGAGAGGATTTCTCTCTCATAAATCCCATTCAAATCATTTCCCCCAATTTTTATAAATTTCTAAAGTTTTTATAAAATATGCTTAAGCTTTACATTGTTTTATAAAATCCTTGATTTTCCACTTATAAAATAAGGATAAATGTTGGTACATTAAACTATAATTTCCTTGATTATATTTCCCAACTTGATTATTTTAAGATAATTTTATAAGTTTCATAACTATTTTTATATAATTCTTGATGTTAAACTTTATAAAATTTTGGTTTTAGGGTTTTTAGGGTTTTTGAGAGTTTGTAAATCTTTGGATATCAAATTAAATTGAATCTTTGAGACTTCAAATTATCTTATGGTATTATAACTCTTTTATAGTTATAAATAATGTTTGTAATTTATTTTTAGCGGTTTATTAGCATTCTATGTAGTGATTCCGAGATTCAAGCGAAATTGAGGAATCAAGTATACTAGTCCTACTCTTCAACTTTGACTTAAGTTTCTATGAGACTTTGACCTAATTTCTACTACTAGGTCAAGTGCATGATGTGTGTATATGATTCATGAAAAGGTGTTCGAGTCAAAGAGTGACCCAAATATGGATAGTCACTACAGTTAAGTAGTAGTAGAATTCACATATCAATGTGAAATCTAAGTACACTATCATTCGGTCCTACTTGTTTCCAAGTTTCTAGTAGGTTATAACTTAGCTTCTAGTTACTAAGTCTATTATGTGTCGTGCCTATATGTGCAACTAAGTATAGTCAAATCTAAAACCGACTCGAATTTTGACGGTTGTCACATATATATATATATATATATATATATATATATATATATATATATATAATTGAAATCTTAATTGGGTCGATTTGTTGGGTCAATGAACAAAGTTTTTTGATTTGGTAGATTGCATCTAGATCAAAACCAACTCTGAGAGACCTATTTACAAGTACTTTATCCAAGTAAATATATTTGAGTGATAATTAACATGTTTCTTTTTATTTGTTTTAATCAGAAGAGCAAGTGTACTTCAGAGCTTTATCCCAAAGGAAGTTTGGCAAAAAATTTCAGACACCGAAGGTATATCTTTTGACATCAGACCTTTCTCTCATCACATGATTAAAAGCATAATTGTCAAATTGTGACTCGAAATATAAATTCTCTACTTGTGACTCGAATCCTAATCCTAAGAGTCATGATATTGAAAAAAATTATATGTAAATATGTAATACATGTATAAAGACATAATATTTGTTGAATATTAATGCATATTTGTAAATATATGTGGAGCCTAAGATTGTCTCTCCAAAAGAGCTCTTGTGGAGAGAAGGGGAACTCCAACATATATAGTCACTTATATTACAGTGTCGCACCGATGTGGGATACACTAACAATATTTACCTTTATTTCTTTAAATTATGCCAATATATAATATACATGCAAATACAATTACAAATTAAATAGATTAATACTTTAATATATGTGTATTACCCGCTGGACAACGACATTACCCACAGGTTATTTGACTTGTCCGAGTTGGCTCGACCCGAACTACCGAGTCGGTTTGTTTAGGGTTTGAAATAACTCGTACGAGTCGACTCGTAACTTGTACGAGTTTGACAATTTTTAATAAAAGGCAATTAGCATTATTTCTGAAAATTTCATAAAAGGGAATGAATTGATATGGCAAATGTTTTTTTTTAATCTTTCATTTTGTTCAAGTGAGCATCCTCTCTTCTTCTCTCAATTATTTGTGATTTACTCCCAAGTTATCCTGCTTGTTCAATGTTTTCAATACCAAAGATTGTGTGCTAAAAGAGATCAATATAGTTTGACAGATTTTACATGCCTTTGTCATTTTTTTAGACAATTTCTCTAATGGTACCTGTGGCATGTTGAGGATATTTTCAGAAACGTTATGGGGGAGTGGTTTTCAAAAAATTGCCCAAAGATTTTGCATGGTTGGCCATTCAGGCGTTAAATCTAGCTTTTGAGTTGTTATTTTTTTATATGACCAATATGCCCTTGGACCGAATCTGAATTATATAATACACCTCAGGGACCATTTCTATCATTTACTTAGAACTTTGGTTTACTCATTTGTTCCGATTTGGTTTCCCCACCATGTTCGGATTTGGTTTCAGATTTGATTCAATTTTTTATTTCGCCACCAAGTTCCGATTTGGATTTAAACTCTCAACACCAACGACCTTTTTAAACATTTATTGCAGATTCTACCATCTCCATCCACCGGTTCCTTCTCATTGAAGAATCTCAGCAGCAACATCCAAAACCATGAACAGAGCATCGAAAAAGAGCAAAAAAGCTTCACAGATTTCTCTTTTCAGCAACCATCAAATCATCAAACTGTAAGTTTTCATCATTCTGGGTTCTTGTGTTTTTCATAAACAAGAAACGGACAATAATTTTATTACGAATTTCAGGAGCAGCTATGGAATCATCAGAAACCCAGAGAACAAGATGAAAAAACATTTGTGCAATCAGAACACCCATCTCAGTTCCTAACTTTCTCCCCAGAAATTTCCACAATTACAACCGATTCAAATTCGCAGATGCAAAGCTCTCAATTGGGTTATGCAGGCAGCAACATCAATTTCGAAAATCAATCATCGCAAATAAAAACAGATGATGGCTATCGTTGGAGAAAATACGGGAAAAAACAGGGGAAAGGAAAAAATGTTAGAAGCTATTACATGTGCGTGTCTCCAAATTGTACGGCGAGGAAGAGAATAGAAACAAATTTGGACGGTCAGATTACAAAGATTGCTTACAAGGGTAGCCATAATCATCCAAAATTTCAATCTACTCGAATATCATCAGCTTCAAATCATTTACAGATGGCTCAAGCTTCTAGTAATCATGAATTTGATAAGTTTTATGGTTCTCATGGATCTAGGCAGTTCGATTCCTTTGCCACCCTGGAGAATTCATCTATTTATGATGACCTTGACCGGAGTAGCTCCGGTCGGCTCAAGTACGATGCCATGCCTGATTCCAAAAATGGGTTTATCTCTGACGGCAGCTACGGTAGCTCCGGTGGGGACGAGCCTATTAGTATATATTAGCTTAGCCCATATTTATTATTGTATAGTCGAATGTTGTATTGTACTATATATTTTTGTTAATGAAATCATTCCAACTCATGGGAAAATATTTACCCTCATATGGTAGCAAAGCTCCCCACCATCTAACCCTAATTTCCGTCTCTCCCCCTTCCATCGACCTCTTCTTGGCTTCCTTCTCTTGCTTACTTCTTGCTTGATCGTTTCTCATGGTGGGTGATGATAATACCAACCCATACACCGAAAACCTTAAACCCTATTGAATCACCAACATCAAGGCCTTCGTTCCTCTTGTGCTTGATCTCTCCCAACTCAATTATGATGCTTGGAGTGTTCTTTTCTCTACCCACTTCAAAGCTTATGGGGTTATGGGTCACTTGGATGGTACCTCTTTTTCGACCGCCTCCAACAGTGAAGAATGGTCCAAACTTGACTCCTTGGTTGCTATATGGATCTATGGAACGCTTTCCCAACCTCTCTTCATAGTGGTTCTCAAAGAAGGTTTGACCGCTCACAAGATTTGGACCACACTTGAAGAGTTGTTTCACGATAATAAAGAAGCTCGAGCCATTCAACTTGACAAATGAGCTCCGATCCATGATGCTTAGCGACCACCCCATCATAGATTTTTGTTCCAAAAAGAACTCAACCGCCGACTTGTTTTCAAACATTGGTTCTCTGGTCAAAGAGGACTCTTGTCACTCATCTCCTCAACTCTCTCACATCGAGGTTTGACAATATTGCTACCCTTATCCACCACCGGTCTCCATTCCCGACTCTATTTCAAGCTCGTTCCATGCTTTTGAGGAATCCCGTCTCAACCGTGATTGACCCTCCCAACCAATCCATTCCGATCACGCATCATCACCAAGGATACCACACCGGCTCGACTACTCAATCTCATTATTTTTGTCCCAACCACAGTGGTAACAATCAGCGCAACCAACCTCACGGTCAACACCGCCAATCGACTAATCATCGCTTACAGCAAGCACCCGCCGTCGTCTTTTCATCGTGACCCACAACAAGTTGCGTTGTGGTTTTCCCAACAAACCGTCCACAATGAACCACTAACATACCATTCCCTCATGAGCACCAGACTAAACAACATACTTCCAACCCAGATTATCTTGATGCTTCAATAGGAACAAAATTACTGATCATGAACAACTGCAGAACACTACACCTGGCAGAAGGCTTAGATAATCCTTCGAGTAGAAGATTCCTCCCTGCGATGGTTAGACTCATACGAGAGTTGTGCAACAGGGTCCAATCAGCCACTCTGAGATTACTTAATCCAACTGCAGGCGACTTAACATATACTCCGAAATACAAGCAACTCTTCGCATGAATCCCAAATCACTGAAACCACTCCGACTCATCTTGCTGCCACCTAGCCGCTTTCCAAAGGTAGCCGAGACCTCCCTGGTCCTAACTTGTCTGGCAACTATCTGAATTACCAGAGACTCCTACCCGATTCCTGAATCGAAAGACACATAAACACACATTAGCCCACTGCCGAGAGCAACCTTATATGACGATAATACCCCCAAACCACCTCGACACTAAACATGCAGCTAAAAGAATGCCACAAGACAAACTACAGTCTCCTATCATACCCGGTCTCCAACGACCTACCTTCTCCTGATTCTAAACACGTGTGGCCATCTCGCAGACAGAACCAACCCAAGACACAACACAACGGCTCGATTTTTATCAAAAATAAACACATTCATTACCCTTGAACCCTGCGATTGATTCCCTTGGCATAAGGATGCCCCGATTCTTATTCTACTGGAACGCAAATCCAGCACAACACGCGCGATACTAAACTCGAGATCTTACCGTAAACCATTTCTATACTACACTCACAACCCGAGATCCACGAATATGCACTTGCATTTCACACCACAACCTTCTGATTCCCGAAGACCCCTAACCTGACTAATAAATAATTACTCTCACACCATCTCTGAGACTACCCGTCTCGCACCTGGTCCAACCACCAGGTTCCCAAGAGTCCAAACAACAAGGCTACCCAACCTGAAACTCCTTTGCGCCACACACTGATCCCCCACATGGACCTGTAACTCAAGACCCAATAACTTGACCCAACGGTCTCTACTAAGACCCACCTGATCTACCATAATCACACGGGCCTCGCCCATGGGTCCTACTCATCTAAAGCTATACTGGCCCGACTCCGCCTTGGACCTCAATGGTCCTCAACCTAGACAGAGAATAATTCCCCGACCATCCAGGCTGGCGTACCCAAGGCACGAACTCATTCTTCTTCCACGCTCGACCATCCCTACTGATAGTCTACCTCGAACTGATGAATGCTACGATCCCATCGCAATCTTACAACCCTTCAAATCAACCATGATTACCACCCATGGCCTCATCACACTCAAACCATCACAATACCACACATCCTGAGCCGAATCCTGCAACCCCTCAGGAGTTCGGGTCACACATTCGAATCCCCCAGGTACTATGCATAACCGAAGAGATGCCAACCTGCGGATGGGAGTTTCCTGAACTCCCACTAACTCAACCTTAGCCTGAACAACCACTTAATTCTCCCCGACTTGGACTCGACGGTAATTCACAGACTCATAAATCAAACCATAACAGATAACATGTATGGGTATTCTGGGAAAACATACTTGAGCTCGGCTGATTGCATGCAGCCATGCACCACACCCTTCTCTTATCTAAGAAAACTCTTTTTCTTGAAAATATTTTTCTGTTGAAAACATTACCAATCCACAGCTTGAGTTCAGACACAACTCAGAGTATGTTCGAATCCCTTAAACCAAAGCTCTGATACCAACTTGTAATGCCCCAAAAATCATGACATAATTTTTTTTTGTTTTTAGATGAATAGATCGTTAATACTGTTGGATTAGGTGTCTAAGCCCATAACTATAATTGGTATGTACTTGACCCGATAGTAGCATGGTCCATTTGGGTTGCATTCACCGGAGCAATTCGATAGGAAGGATATTTGAGAAAGAGGTTATTTTTGATTTATTAATATATTATAAGAATAATATATTAATTGAGAAATCATATTATTTAATTGGTATTGATCAAAAATTAATTTAGTGATCAAAAGAGACTGATTAAATTAACAGGGGCTGATTATGTAAACCAGTGATATATATTATATATATATATTATATATATATATTATATATCTATATATATATATATATATATAGTTTGGGCTAATGATCCATGATGGATTAGTGATGGACTAAGATTATGTGAGAGTCCATGAAGTGTTAGTCCAAATGAATTATTGGATCAAAAGCCTAAGTGAAGGGATTAGGGTTTACAAGTGACCATTGGAATTCTACACTATATATGTAACCCCTGAGCCCCTAAAATCGACACACAAAAGTTCTAAGAAGAACCCTAGCCGTTTTGGTGCCTCCTAACCTCTCTCTCATAATCCTCCATTTGTTTTTGGTGTTTTGTGACTTATTTGAGGCATCGCATTTGAGGTGCTAAGCTCTTGTAAGGCCAAGTTCTACAAGAGACAACCAAGAGGTAATCATTTAACTCGTTTTTATGTTTCAAATATCAATGTTGTATGCTAGTTAGGCTTCATGCTTTGGAAAAATGAAAATTACATGTATAACTAGTGAAAACTTAGATCCAAAGCATTAGGGTTGTATGTGCACCATAGGGATGTTATAGTGCTCAAAACCCATCAAATACATGCCTTCCCATAAAACCATTGTAATTAAGTTTTATCAAAACATTGACAAATCATAGTAATTCATAAAAAAATAGAAACATGTGGTGTGTGCTCTACAATCATCTCGAGCCCTTCCATTTGAAAACCGGAGTAACTGAAACATAAACTGAAAACCCTAAGCACGAAGCTTAGTGAGTTTTCCCAAAATACCATACAACATACAACCACAAAATATCATGCAACATACATATAGTTGCCATGGGCTCCCCCCTGGTCTTTATCTGGGATGACATGACCCCCTTGGTCTTAAACCTGGAATGCCATGAGTTCCCTCCCCCCCCCCCCCCCCCCTTCCTCCACATAGTCTGATATCCAAATGCCACGGGCTCCCCTGTGGGTCTTCCGTGTAAGTATCACAGAGACAACTAGCATACCACATAACATATAATGGGCCGAAATTGGTGCCTTCGACCCATGGATATAGTGAGAAGACTCACCTCGCATTGCTGAATCATACAGAAACACTCTTGGCTGCTGGCTGGCAGATCTACGAACTACCAATAGTAAAACAACTGGGTTCCAATCCATAACCATGACTCCATACCTGGGGTAAAAAGACCATTTTACCCCTAACCTAGCCTTGTCTAAATCTAAGACCCAAACTTATAATCTAAAAGGCCCAAAGGCCAATTAATCAACCAATGGCCCAATTTTCCAAATTGGGCCCAAACCCCTTACATGGGCCTTACCTTAAGGCCCAACCATTCATTCTAGTCCAAAACACTTTGTATTCCGATGACCCATTAATAACTTAAACACTCAAGCATAAAATACCAAAAACTACTTGTCCCAAATCATGGCCCAATTTTCCAAATTGGGCCTAATGCCCTTCGTGGGCCTTCTCAAACTCACAATCAGACCATAACCTAATGGCCCAACAGGGCCGAAGACAAATAAGCCCAATAGATGGCCCACACTGAAGCCCAATAAGCAAAACTCCCCCTGACTGAGTACGCGGGGCGTACTCAGCTGTATGCTAAGCGTACATGTTGTTTGGCTTGTACGCTACGCGTACAGACGTGTACGCCCAAAGTACTCCTCCATTGAGCCAAAACCTTCATTAAGCTCTTAATGATTGATCCCATAAGTCCAAACCTTAGATCTACTTCTAACTGAACGTCTAGAATTACTGAATGGACATCTACTTTCCATAAAAGCCCGAGATGACAAATTACTGAAATGCCTTTTGACGCAAAAACTCAAATTGAATACCCGAGCATCCAAGATACATTATCCAACTCCAACTGGGTCTAAAACCCAACTCCTCGAGGATCCGAAGCCAGTTAATACCCAGTCCTTGATCACCAACCCAAA